TACTACGCAGTTTTTCTTCTGTGCTTTTAGTTCCTTGATGGAATTGACTATATAGTTTACGCTGCTTATTGCCGAATACCCCTTTCTGAATCCGAACGACAGTGGTGGTAGTAATTCCATCTCATCTGTATACTTCGCAAGTCGGTCTTTGACTACAGTGTTAATTGTTTTTAGAAACACGTTCATCAACGCAATTCCTCTCTTAGCCGTGATATCATTTGGGTCTCTATTGGGTTTTTGTATTAATACCATCTTGCTAATCCGCCATCGTTCTGGAATTTCGATTGCTAGCCATACTGCATTTAGTTGTACACTTATTTCGCTTATCATTCCGATATTTAATCCCTTTATCATCTTGTATGATATATGGTCTACACCTGCAGCAGAGTGATCTTTCTTGCTTTTTATTACCTTGAAAATTTCCTCGAAATTTAGTGATTCTCCCATGTACGCTTTTTCTTGTTGTATTCCGTGTTTCCATGTTAGATTTTGTTTTTTTTTTGACATAATTCCTTCTCATAAATTCCATCGCTGTGTTTAGGGACGGTGAATGGTCCGCTCCTTTTTTTGATCCTGTAAGTGCCGTGTCCAATCCTCGAATTATGTTCCAAATTTGCTTCGGTGGGGTTGATTCCTCTATTTTTTCCTGTAGTTCGTGTACATATTTCCGTTTTTCCTTCCTGACTAGCTTCTTGAACACCGCTCTAGCTTTCTGCATCTCCTTTTGATTGTTTAATGATTTTTCTTTGTTGAAGTTTCTTAGCCTTTTCCTCTTTTCATTGTATGCTTTTTGTAAATCTTTGTTCCACCACGCTTTCAGAAAATCTGCCTTTTTATTCTTCACTACATAACTAGCTGCCTCTATTTGTTCCTCGAATACTTGTTGCATTTCTTCCGGGGAGTATAGGTATTGCGGTCTTAGTGAGTTTAGTCCTTCTATTGCTCGTTGTACATTTACTTTCTTTCGTGTGCCCCACGATATCGGTGCTTCAGATTGTATTGTCATGCTGATGCAGAGATGCATACTACCGAACTCTTCTTGTAGCACATTCCAATTCGTCAGTGATGCTAGGTGGCTTGTCGCGAATGACAGATCGATGGCCGTGGGAGATGAGTTGATCCTAGGAATCGTAGTACTCTGTCCGTCGTTCAACATTACCAGCTTTGAGTTTGCCAGTTCGTTCGCCATAGCAGTGCCTTTCGCGCATGGTTTAACCCCGTCGTCCCACATGGGGTGCCTTGCGTTGAAATCTCCCGTTAACATTATTTCTCCGTCCATTCTTTCGATTAGACTGAAAATCTCTCCAAATCTCTCAATTTCCTTTTTGGCTAGCCTACTATCCGGTGGCACGTATATCGAGAATATTGTAAAGTTTAGCGACAGGCTCTTTGTTCGTATTGCTACTACTTCTACTGGTTCGTAGGTGCCTAGTTTTATCTCTTCGTAACTGATGTCTTCCCTGATCAAAATTCCTACTCCTCCGAATCCTTCATCTCTACACCTCTGTACCAATCTGTAACCTTTTATCCTGAAATTTTCATTTGGTTTCAACCAAGTTTCTTGTAAACTAGCTATTATAATTTCCTCCTTTTTCAAAAACATTGATAACTCTTCTCTTGTTTCTACAGGCCTTAAAGATTGTATGTTATTCTGCATTATTTTTATGTTCTTATCCATTTTTCTCCATATTCTCGTGTGTAACTTCTTTGTCTTCTGTTATAGATGCTAGTTCATTAGTGATGTCTTCGATGATTTCTTGGATTGTGGTACTGATTCTGATGATGAGTTCCTCATAAGCAATTGCCGATGCCTCCTTGGTAATGATTTCTGCATTGATTCCCAAGTGCAGCCTCATTAATTTCCTGATTACGTCCAGATTCCTCCAAAATCGCTTCATTTCCGTTATTGTTCTTTCCCATTGGTCCACGTTGTATGGGTTCTCGTTGAATTGATGAGGTACATTTTCATTCATAACCACCTGTGCATAGTTTGGACGTCGTTGTTGGGATCTTGTTCCATTCCTTTGAACCAGTACAGTCTTGTACTGCGATCCCGGATTTGAATTTCGCTGTTGTGTCAGATTAGGAAACTCCACTTCATCGTCCGGTAGGATGTCGAATGTGTTTTCTTGTGTGCATTTCTTCTTCGCTTCATTGAACGTTATCTTATCCCTTTGCATGATCTCCGAAATCTGTCGTTGTTCCTGTCGCATTGGACAGAATCTCTCCGTTGCTTTGTGGTTACCTCCGCAATTTATATACTTCACCGTTACACAGTCCTCCTGATTATGCTCCTGTCCGCAGTTTTTACATTTTTCAGCTCTTTTGCATTGCTCCTTCTTGTGTCCATATCCCCAGCAGTTCGCACATTGCTTTACCGGAAATATGTACAGTTCGACTTTGAATTTGCATCCAAAGATCATGATGTTGTCTGGGTGCTTGCTTCCTTTAAATGTAATCTTTACATTGTTCGTATCTAACAGCTTCCCTTCTTTGTTCCTTTTCTTCATTCTTTCCGCTTTCAATACTTCTGTGTCCGATTCCATGTTCTCCATCAACTCGTTTTCGTTGTATTCTCTTGGGATTCCCTTGACCAATCCAATCGTCTGTCTCAGCACGAACGGTACGAAACATTTAAGATTTTGCTGCTCCAGCTTCTCGCCTCTCAGAACGTTGGCAGCAGCTTCTGACTCAAACGTGACTTTGAATCTTAGTCTTCCTACCCTGACAATGTCCAGATAGTTGATCTTTCTTGAATTTAGTACTCGTGCCACTTCAATCGGGAATCTTGCCGTTTGTTTCTCGAAGTCAGCTGGTTCCATAAATACCACGTCCATCACACCATTCGTGTTTGTCCTGGTTGAGGTTTCTGCAGTTTGATTGTCCTGTTGAGTGCTGGTTCTGTTCGATGTTGATTTTTTCGTTTTCTCCACATTTTGTCCTCCTGGTTTCACTGCTTGCTGCGTTTCTCCGATTTTATACTGCTTTCTGGTCACGATGTTTGATTTCATTTTGTATCTTCTTTTATTGCTCTCTAATTTCTAATTGTAATGACTTGTTTTGTATTCTTCACTTAACCTAACACTGTTTTTTTTCGCTTAACCTATTACTGTTTTTCTCTTCTTCTTCTTCTTAATACTATTCGTCTTCTCCTTCTCAGCCCGCAACTTAATTTGATCACTTTTCTTCTAATTTCTTGTTTTGGTTCGTACAGAATCATCTTCACTTGGTCTCTATGTTTAATTTATGTTATTTCACTATCTTAATTGTTTGAAAAACACATTTAACTGCCAAATTATTCGCTTTTTTACGGTGCCGCAAGAAAAACACGATCCGTTCGAAAACAAAATGGCGAGCGAAGTGAGGAAACGTATTTTTAAACTACTTGAATATATCTGAGGTGAACTCCAAGGAAATTCTAAGCAATATTCAAAGGATTAATTTCCAAACGGTAACTTTCAAAGGGAATTATTTAGATAAATTTAAGGGAAACCTCGGGAGAATTATTAATAATACTAAGACAATTTATTGTACATTGAATTCTAATAATTTCCTAGAGGGGTTTCTAAAAGTGGTATAAAGAGAATTTCGATAGCTCTTAGGTATAAACATTTCAATGGAATGCTAAAGAGAATAATAAAATTATTCAGTGGAATCAAGGGGAAAGCATTTTTGAAGACAACTTGGGATGATTCTAAGGAAATTCTCAAACAAAATTACAAAGATATCAAATGATTTCTAGAAATGTAGAAATTATCTACATAGGTAATTCAGAGATTGGAAATTTGCTCAGGATCCGTTCGAGAAATTCAATATTCACTGAAAACAATAACAATTTCTGCCCACTCTAGTTCGTTATGGATAAGATATACAGATTTGAATTGTTGACAAAAGTTTAATGGAATTCTGTTGTTGACAAAAGTTAGAGGCAAATGAATGTAGAATGCATGAAATCAATGTAAATGATTTTCCATGCCTGCTCCACGCACATTATGGTTAAATTTAACAAATTGATGAATATATCACTTTTAAAACGCAAATATTTTCACTGTAACATTTCTGCAAAACTGATTCGTATTTTAATTTATTTTTGGAACAGAAGTTAATTTGGCCAAAGTTTATAGCAGTAGTTCGCAAACTTTTCCGTAAATACAACAGTAATACTTTATTAGTTAAGTTTTCGTTCCAATTCGACCATGAAATGATGACGTGCTTTTAACAACAATGTCTGCGCCATAAATGCATTATTGTAATCTCATTTTACTCCACATTTCTGGCGAAAAGTAAAACCTCACGAAGGTTCATTAGCAAAGTAATTATAGCCTTCTATCGTTTGCTACTTTGGTACATTTTGCCGCGCCTGTTTCCGATACCTACTTCCGTCTCCCATCCGTAACAAAACAAAATGCAATTTTACCATCAGCTTGCACTCCATGTTCGTTCATTCATTCTGCCACGACACAATTAACACTGGAGACATATTTTCTAAATATTTAATTAACCGGATTCCAGCCCTTCTCGTCGTCTACGCCTTATATCTACCCTACATACTATGCGCTACGTAACCGTTTGTTGGTGAGAAATGAGATGCAGCACTGCAGACTGCTCTGCACGATGATCAGTGGGATGTTGCTTACACTAAACTTTGTCTACTACCAACGTTCACTACCACTACCACCGCTTCAAATTCCAATGTTTTGCTTCTCGTATTTTAATTCAAGCCTTCTCAAAAACCACCAAGTCGTGGTTTGCGCCGTAGTAATAACGTGTATGAACGAAACTTTCCTCCTCCTACCCCCGGGTTATTAATGTATTTAATTCTCCATACACAGAGGTAGTGGGTGAGACGAGACCCCACCTATTTTGATTGCCCTTCGAAGTGAGACTGCCCAGGCTGGAATGGAAACTGTCCCTCGACGAATTTCTTATCTTATCGATTCACTGGTTCCCCTCATTCTTTCGTTTTACGAAATTGATAACAAATCGGAAATAATACATACCCATTTCGTGTGTTCGTTGTTTATCGAAATTAGATTCGGTTCCGTCGCACTTCAGTGGCTCTTTAAATGCCTTTCAGTCTCCAGTCACTGCGAAACTTTCGTGCTACTCGCTCAGCGGAAAAGGAACAATGAAACTCCAGACAAGACCGTTTTTTTATGTTCAAAAATTCACACTGAAATGCACCTGAATCCGGCGGATTTCTGTTGCCCCGTATAGAACCGAACACAAATGGTGATCTAATGGAAAATGTTCTCAGAAATGCATTGATAAAACAATGGAAATTAGGAAATTTTCACCGTAAACAAACGAAATGCACTCGCCATCACTCACTTTTCTGAAACCGTCTGTGCTGTGTGTGTGCTGTGAGTTTGCTGTGTGATCGTTCATCATCAGAGCAGAAATGAAATCCAAAATATTTCAACGTGACGCTTTGTGGCAGTGTGTGCGTGAAGCTTAGGGTGGCCTTTTTAGTACACAACTTATTTTATGTTAATTCCTGTTAATTCTACACTCATAAAAGAAATCACATTTTCAATGGAAAATACCCGCATAAATCACAACCATACGATTACCACATTGAAAATGATTTATCTTCCTGTAAAACCATAATGAGAATGGTTCAGTCAACTTTGATCGAACAATACCTAGATCGAGATGAAACCTATGTGTACAATGAAGTTTATATGAATTATCACATAGAACTCATGAGATTATATCAATGTTACAATGTTATGTGAATTTAAGATATGAATTAATAATTTTGTTATAGAGATTAGTGACATTTAACACATGCACACTAGCGGGAGTTCCATTTTGCATTTACTACTCAGAAACGAACAGCAACTTGTGCGAGCCGCACTGATTTCGTTCGTATTCGCATTGCTTCTATTTTCTTCGATGAACGCAGAATTGAGAAAAATAGACAGCTAAGCGTAACATGAATGATTCTGAGCGTATAGTAGTGTGGATGCTTAATCTCTTATTATTTTTTCCATGCTGAGCCTTTTACGATTGAATTCTGCTGAGTGAGCTGAATGCGAATTGTGCAGAAAGAATCACTTTTTATTGTCTAGCTTTAAACATACATTGACACATTTAAATCGCTATTAATGTCGAGAAAACTGTTATACTGTAACACATAAACATAAACGTAACGCAAATAACATAAAACTGCTGTGGCCAATTCAACTGATTTAAATCAGTGAGCCAAAAACTATCTGACTCGGCTATTTAAATCGTTAGCATTCGGATTTTACGCATTCAATCTGGTTCTCCCTCACTAGAGAAAATTGTTCGGCTGCCTTTCAGTTTATCTTTCTTTCCTTCTACTGCTGTCAGTACTGAGTCAAGCTGCAGAGTCACTTGGTTGGAAGATTTTACACTCGTTCGGCAATCTGTTTGTAGGTGAGGATGGCTATTTTGATTCTGTGGTGCTCGCGCGAGTGAATGAATTTTCCCATGCTTGTTGCCGTGTAAAGTTGCTTATTATTTTCTTCTGACTAATCTAAAAAAAATGAATGATATTAGATCTGTCAAAATGAGATTGACAGAGATTTCTTATGCATTTTCTCCAGGTTTTCATTAAAACGCTCTGCTTTATTGCACCAATACAACCGGACGTGATAATCTCTATTGGAAAAATGTCATTCTAATGTGACACATCAAACTACAACAGAATTCAAAAATAAGAACATTGGTGCCCATATTAAGTACACAGTACTCAGTCCAATGAAACTTCTTTGGGTTTCTCAGAACTTCCCTGAAAATCTCTTCAGAACTACTCTGAAGTTCTCCTCAGAACTACTCTGAAGCTCTCCAAAGAACTACTCTGAAGTTCTCCTAAAAACTACTCTACACAGAAAAAAAAGTGGTTGAATATTACATCCAAACTGCTGCAACCAGGTCAATCCATCGGTTGTGTAATATAACGTTGTACGATGTACATCGATTTTGCGAATAAAATTACATCCATTGATGTAATATTGTATCTGCTTTTTGCTATTACATCATTATTTCATACATCAGCTTGAACTACATTGATGAATATTACATTTTTTTTTGCTGTGTAGATCTTCGATGAAATTTTCAACATTTTCCTGCATTGTACGAAGTTGTCTGAATATCCTCTTGGCTATCGATAAACTTTCCCGATAGTCAGGACTTCCCTAAAGATATCTTTACTCCCCAGAAGTTCTTTTAACTTCTCAATAAACTAGAGTTCTCTGGACTTCATCAAAATTAATGGAACTTTCCTTAAGCTCCCGCAGTTTTCCTGATATTCATTACTCTTCTCCGAAGCTCTCGATATTTTCATGGTACTTCTTCAAAGTGCTCCCATTTTTTTTGAAGTTAATGCAAATTCAGAGACGATCACTGAACTTTGGAGAATTTCAAAGCCCCTTGGATATTTTCACAAGAATTCAGAATATCTTCTACTGATCATCTATTCAATCAGATAATCCCTCATACTGAAAAAAAAAACTTTTCACTTAGTTCCTATTAGGAACCCTAATAAAAATAACCATAAAAGAGAGCTTAACGACGTGTTCTGGGTATCATCCAAACCATTTGTGGGATAGTTTACCCATCCGGGATACAGCTCGTTTATGGTATTTGTTTATTAGGGCACGCACATAATATTTTTCCAATAACAAAAATCTAGAGTAACATTTGAAATGGGCCTATGTCCTAAACGAAACAAACCAGAACATGAATTTTATATTTTTCCGCCACTATTCAATTCATATTTAAGAAAATTGAAGTATTTTAGGCATTAATATTGTTCACTATAACAATAATAACTGTATCTCAGTATACAACATCAAAAATATGCGAAAAGCTTTCAAAAATATATGAAAATCGATAACAATTTAATTTCATACATTAATTAGCCTTTTTGTGAATCTTTCAATGGATAGGCGCTTTTTGTTAAGCCGTTGTGCTTGTCATCAGAAATGGTACGCCCGTTGCTAAGCCTTTTCGCAACGTCAAATAAATTCAAAACAAATCATCGGCCCTGCCTCAAGCAGTAGGGCCTAGCTTTGGTTTGAAATTTTTCAATCATTGGCCCTTCTACATCAGGCTTATCAATGAAATGAAATAAATGAATGGTTAGCCGTTTTAGCGTGCGGGCCTATTAATGAATCGAAAAATTTCGTTGATCGGCCGTTTCGAAAATCTAGAGATGAACTAGCCTAAGGCTAAAAATCTCTTTAATAAAGAATTAAAAAAAAAAAAACGTTTCGAAAATCGAGTTATTTTTAATGATTTTTCTCGATTATGCAGAACGTTCCTACACGATTAGTAGCTATCAAGCGGTGCTAAAGAATGGTATCAAAACCCGATTTGTTTATGTTTTGGACATAGGCCCATTTCAAATGTTACTCAAGAAATAATGATTTTTATCTGAATATCACATATAGCATAAGAAATTCTTTATCAGAAATCATATAGATTTTATTGGACACATAACGTTCATGTTCACGCCCCTTGAGCCTCACCTCGGATACTACGAATCGTTTACCTTGCAGCGAGAGTGATCTGCTCACCCTAATAAAAATTGTATGGTTAATTTGCTTAACGACGTGTTCTGGGTATCATCCAAACCATTTGTGGAATAGTTCAATGATTTGGGTTATCGTTCGTTTATGGTTATTTTTTATTAGGGTTAGCTGTCTATTTTTCTCAATTCTGCGTTCATCGAAGAAAATAGAAGCAATGCGAATGCGAACGAAATCAGTGCGGCTCGCACAAGCTGCTGTTCGTTTCTGAGTAGTAAATGCAAAATGGAACTCTCGTCAGTCGAGCTGTTGCACTCTGTGCTTCGCGTATCGCGTGTTCTCTGACCTCGAGCTCCCCTAATAAAAAATGCCATAAACGAACGATAACCCAAATTGTCGAACTTTTCCACAAATGGTTTGGATGATACCCCAAACACGTCGTTAAGCAAAATAACCATACAAATTTTATTAGGGTCGTCGTTGATCAACTTTTACATTTTTTCCTGTATACGTACTAAATCATATGTACCGTTCAAAAACTTTCGACCGGCAGTGTACATCTGTACTAAAATATTGGAAAAGTGAACTGTCAAGTTGTCAACAAAAATAATTAAAGCAGCAGAATTTATTTTATTTTGGTTGGGTTCGCGCAGTGATACGCAATAATGTCGCAAATATCATCAAATTTCCTAAGAAATACTCTTCAAAATGGCAAATATAGCTGCTTGAAGGTAAGTGCAATTGATGATTAGTTTTGGATCGGGTTTCATTTTTCGTTAACATTCGGTTTTCAAGTAATTTTTCGCCCATGAAATCGCATTAGCATTGATTATGAAATACTTTCCCGTCTCTTATCACCCCACTTCCGCCATCTAGAATCCCATCCAGTGCAAACACACGGCAGCCAATCCGTTGGAGACGATCCGTGAACGTCTGGAAAGTGGACCCAGTTTCCAGGACTTCGTGCAGAACCCGTCGTACAATCGGGATGAATGGACCACTTACGAGGGCAAACTCAGACGGGAGAAGGGTGAAAATGAACGGCTCCGGTTGCCACCCTGGCTGAAGACGAAGATTCCGATGGGGAAGAATTTTAGCCGTATCAAGGACCAGCTGCGGGAGCTTAAGTTGGCCACCGTCTGCGAGGAGGCCAAGTGTCCCAACATCGGCGAATGCTGGGGCGGAGGAGAGCATGGAACGCAAACTGCGACGATTATGGTGAGTTTGGTTGTTTGTGTTTGTTGATAAGGGAAAGCGCTTTTATTTTCACTCGAGGGTTATCAGTGATGGTTTAGTTTGTTGAACGAAGAATGAATTCAGGGTCAAGGACTTATCATAGTAAAATTGCGAATCTGTTTTGCAGTTGATGGGCGACACTTGTACTCGAGGTTGTCGTTTTTGCAGTGTAAAAACGGCGCGTGCACCACCGCCTCTGGATCCTGCGGAGCCAAGAAACACAGCATCGGCAATCGCTTCCTGGGGCCTGGACTATATCGTACTGACGTCAGTGGATCGTGATGATTTGCCTGATGGAGGATCGCATCACATTGCCGCTACGATCCGGGAGATCAAGAGACAGAATCCTCGCATTTTTGTGGAATGTTTGGCCCCCGATTTTCGCGGAGATTTAGAATGCGTCAAAACGGTTGCCCTGTCGGGACTGGATGTCTATGCCCACAACATTGAAACGGTGGAAGCTTTGACGCCATTTGTGAGGGACCGCCGAGCACATTATCGACAGAGTTTGAAAGTTTTACAAAGCATCAAGGAGATGAATCCCAATATGGTAACGAAGACGTCCATAATGTTAGGCCTTGGGGAGTCGGACGAGCAAGTTGAACAGACTATGAAAGGTAGGAACCGCCATAACTAGGGAAATATAATTACCATTTCATTAGCGTCTATCCAATGCCTTGTTCATGCGTCAAGCAGACGCAATTTGTGGGCAACTCATTAAATATTAATTTCCGTTTATCTTATTTTCTTGTTTTGTGTGTGTGGGTGTGTGTTCAGACCTCCGTTCAGTCGGTGTCGACTGTCTCACCCTGGGTCAGTACATGCAGCCTACCAAGCGGCACCTGAAGGTAATCGAATACGTTACACCCGAAAAATTTAAACACTGGGAGATCCGCGGTGGCGAGATGGGTTTCCTATACACCGCCAGTGGCCCGCTGGTGCGAAGTTCGTACAAGGCAGGTGAATTTTTCATTACGAGCATTCTGAAGAATCGCACCGAGGAGGCAGAGAGGCGCAAAGCAAATACGAATCAGCACGACACCCAGCCACAGCAGTAGGTAATGATGACGCACCTGCATATGGTGGTGTGGGTTGGATGGAGAAAAAGAGCATAGGAAGAAGGACTCTTGCAGGCGCAGAATGATGAATGTATTTCGTCCTTCTTAGAAAAGCGTCAGAGTCTGGCACGTATGTATAATATTTTTAGCTAAGAGGAATCGTGTGATCTAAGCGACATAAGAGCGTTTTTTCCCTTTTCTTGTTGTGTATGCTTTCCCTTTGTTAGCCTGCTGGCACTTGTTGTTAGGAAAATAGCGATGAAATTATATGTAAATAAAATATAGAAAACGGCACAAGGCGAAACAAATCTGCAAGTCTTTTTATTTGTGGTTTATAGGGTAGATGTTCCAGTAATAGTGGTGTACCTAAATACTGCCCATAAAAGCATAACTGTCCCATATGAATAGGAAATCAAGCAAAGATGGGACAATTATGCTTTTATTGGCAGTATACTGCCTGGCTTGTCCCGTAACGTGTTTGACAGATAAAATGAGGGGTTAGTGGATTTTCCTATGTTTAGAGGCGTGAATCGATTAGCTTGGGACCGAAGAGCGTACCAGAGCTGAGCCAAAAAGTTGAGCACGTTTCTTCGGAATCTACTAGTCTTAGAGTTACCTCTATGATATTACCATAGAGGTAACTGTAAGACTAGTAGGTCCCGAAGAAACGTGCTCAACTTTTTGGCTCAGCTCTGGCTCTTGAATTGGAATGACAGCGAAAAATAACAGGAGTGACCAGGTCAGGTAATCCAATGACTACTTTGATTTCATCCCCTCTCGCATGGATAGTCCCAGCATCGTCCGAAGTACCTCAAATCGTCCGACGTCCAACGATTTAGTGAAGAAGTCAACCAACTGGTTGTTGCTGGCAATCGGCTCCACCAATAGCTTACCAGCAGTGACATGATCAAGAAGAAAATGGTGTTTAATGTCGGCTCTCTTACTCTCCAAGTTCTTGGTCATACCAATGCATCCACGGTTGTCCTCGTATATGTTGACTGGTACAATGTTCAGCTCACCGAGATCGCCTAACACCGACTAGCCATATTACTTCCGATGCTGCAGCACTCAAAGCTACATATTCAGCTTCGCTTGAAGAAGTTGCAACTGTTGTTTGCTTCTTGCTTGACCACGCAACAGTACATCCGAAAACACGGAAAACCAAACCGCTTAGTGATTCGTCAGTGGCCCAGTCTGAATCAGCAAACCCGATGAGTGGCGCCGCTTGATTGTCTCGAGTAAACGTCAAACAACACTCCATCGATCATTTTAAGTATCGTACAACCCGTTTCAGAGCTGTCCAATGTTGTTGTCCAGGTTGAAGTTGGAATCTCCCCAGATATCCGATAGGAAAGCAAATGTCCAGCCTTGTGGACATCATCACGTACATCAGGCTTCACAATAATTCACGGTACGGTTCTTGAACACCTTCGGCCACTTGACGATCAAATTTCAATCCTTTCTCCATTGGCGTCCTTGTTGCATTGCACTCCGTCATGCCGAACTTCTACAAGATCTTTTCCAGGCTGGTTTCTTGAAACAGCATCATTCTACCATTTTGTTGGTCGTACCGTATCTTCATCCCAAGAAAGTGAGTCAACTCTCCACAATCGGTCATTTCAAACATCGCCGACAGTTCGCGTTTCAGCTTCATTATGGTAGTCAGCTGCATATCGTACTCCAAAATCGAAGATCGAGAAGATCGACAGCTTTGGATGACCGCAGTTAGAGACGAGTTAAAATCTCTTGAGGAGAATAAGGTGTGGACGACGGTGGAATGCCCTGCCGGTGTCAAGCCCTTGCAGTCGAAGTGGGTCTTTTGCGTGAAAGAGGATGAAGAAGGAAACCATGTGTGATGTGATGCAAGGCAAGACTGGTAGTCAAAGGTCTCTTGCAGAAGGCTGGCCTACAATGAAACATATGCGCTCGTTGCGAAGTTGACGACGATTCGAATTGTGCTGGCCGTAGGCGTACAAAGGGGATTCCAGTTCCATCAGATGGACGTCAAGACGGCGTTCCTTCATGGTGAGCTACAAGAGAGAATCTTCATGGCTGTTCCGGATGGCATCAAGGCAGACCCTGGGCTGGTGTGCCAGCTACAGAAATCGCTGCATGGTCTGAAGCAGTCTCCTCGTTGTTGGAATGAAAAATTCAATCAAGCGCTGCTGAAGCTAGGTTTCACACGTTCCAAGCACGACTATTGACCCGTATCGATAAGAGGGGGCAAGACCTCGGGCAAGACGTTATTTCCATCGTCCTGCATGTCGATGATCTACTGATAGCAGGTATGCAGTTGACCAGGCTCCGTATGAAGGAAGGAACTTCGATGCGGCATCATTTTCAACAGTTCGACGATATCATACGCCAACTCAAATCGGCAGGCGCGAAGCTCGAAGAGAACGACATGGTATCGCAATTATTTCTCACCCTTCCTGATAGCTACGACTCGGTTGTAACGGCTCTAGAGAATATCAACGAGAACGACCTCACATTAGAGACTGTGAAACAGCGATTACTGGCTGAAGAATCCAAGCGGTCTGATAGGATGGAAGATTCGAGCGAAGACAAGGCAGCAGCGTTTGTTGGAGGCAGAAATAAGAAGCAACGAAAGTTCCTTCAAGCACACATCACTGATTTTGTGATATTATGTGGAAAAAAGCCTAAATTTTCAATATTAAAATACACTACCGATCATAAGTTTAAGGACACCCCCAAAAAACCATGCAAATATGTTTTGTTCAATGATCTCTCGTTTTACGTTCAATTTTCGATCTCCAAAGGTTATTTGAATGGTATGAATGGTATAGCATAAGTGTTCTACTGCTACTTTTATTTCAAAAGTTGGTCAACCCAATTCTGAGAAAATCAGTCACGATTCTTCAGAGTAAATTTTGAAAAATATTGTAACTTGGGTGAACATTTAGCACACAAAATTTGAAAATTATATTGAACAATTTGGAAAGTTCAATTCAATACCCTTCGAATGATCTAAAGAGAACAAAAATTGAACGTAACATGACAGAGATATATAACAAATTTGTCATTTTTTTTGGGTGTCCTTAAACTTATGATCGGGAGTGCATATTGCGGCCTCTATCTACAGACTATCGAAACTATAAAAAAAAACAAATATAATCAATCAATGTTTTTCAAAACAAAATCTAAATTATTTTTAATATTAATATATTTTTACTAAAAATTACCTTTCATTTAATATTTTGATTTTTGAAATCAAAAGTTATTAATTTTAGAAAAAAGTCAAGGAACAAAACTATCAATTTTTACGAAATTTCGAGAACCACTATATCGTTTTGCTAGGCAATATATCAAGAGGTAAGGTAGGATAAGGTATAAGCGAAGACAGCAAATCAAGAAGACTGGCAACTTTGAGTGAAGGTGGAAGCAACGCATAGTTAAATGAGCAAATATTCAAACCCTTCGTCTGAGGATGTAATCTTTGCTAACAAATTCGTTCGAAGCATTTACCTTTGAGCGGCAGATGACGCGATTGTACCTGTCTCATAGCGTTCGTATGAGAAAATGGTAGAGCTGCCAGTCTTCTTGATTTGTTGTCTTCGATAGTAGACAAAGTGATTCTGTTGTGTGGGAAGTATTGTTATAGAAACAAAGCGAGACAAAGCGGTCGGTGCAACTCAGTGGGTAACGTGTTCTTCGGGGGAAAGCTGGATGTTACTAATTGCTTTACTCTGAAACTGATTCAGCATACTCTGGAACTCTGTGGCTATAGCCACTTCGCTAGTTTGTGGGTGGTAGAAACAACTGCAGAGACACGATCTCTCGCATTTCATTCCCCGGTTTGTGGACTTTGGGGAGAACTTTGATCCTGGGTAGAATGGGATTGGATTTCCGTAAACTACATATTTCATCTCCTAATATTGATATGCACTTCTTCAGTGCTTTCTCCACGCGTTTCACTACGTTCCGTAAGGGGTCTACTCGAAGCTGTCTATACGGTCCGTTGTTGATCTTCGTTGTCATCTGATTGTCGTAATCGTCCTTGCTCATGATAACGACCGCGTTGCCCTTGTCTGCTTTCACATAGTATACTGCTTTACTTTTCAGCTCCTTTACAATTCGAATTTCCTTTTCGTTGGTGCTACTTTGCTCCTGTCCGTCCTATATTTTTTTTACGAAATTTCGAGAACCACTATATCGCTTTACTATGCAATAAATCAATGAATCAATAAATCAATAAATCAATAAATAAATAAATCAATACATCAATAAATCAATAAATCAATAAATCAATAAATCAATATCAATAAATCAATAAATCAATAAATAGATAAAAAATCAACAATTAAATGGTGTATGCAAGTCAGTCAGTCAGTCAGTCAGTCAGTCAGTCAGTCAGTCAGTCAGTCAGTCAGTCAGTCAGTCAGTCAGTCAGTCAGTCAGTCAGTCAGTCAGTCAGTCAGTCAGTCAGTCAGTCAGTCAGTCAGTCAGTCAGTCAGTCAGTCAGTCAGTCAGTCAGTCAGTCAGTCAGTCAGTCAGTCAGTCAGTCAGTCAGTCAGTCAGTCAGTCAGTCAGTCAGTCAGTCAGTCAGTCAGTCAGTCAGTCAGTCAGTCAGTCAGTCAGTCAGTCAGTCAGTCAGTCAGTCAGTCAGTCAGTCAGTCAGTCAGTCAGTCAGTCAGTCAGTCAGTCAGTCAGTCAGTCAGTCAGTCAGTCAGTCAGTCAGTCAGTCAGTCAGTCAGTCAGTCAGTCAGTCAGTCAGTCAGTCAGTCAGTCAGTCAGTCAGTCAGTCAGTCAGTCAGTCAGTCAGTCAGTCAGTCAGTCAGTCAGTCAGTCAGTCAGTCAGTCAGTCAGTCAGTCAGTCAGTCAGTCAGTCAGTCAGTCAGTCAGTCAGTCAGTCAGTCAGTCAGTCAGTCAGTCAGTCAGTCAGTCAGTCAGTCAGTCAGTCAGTCAGTCAGTCAGTCAGTCAGTCAGTCAGTCAGTCAGTCAGTCAGTCAGTCAGTCAGTCAGTCAGTCAGTCAGTCAGTCAGTCAGTCAGTCAGTCAGTCAGTCAGTCAGTCAGTCAGTCAGTCAGTCAGTCAGTCAGTCAGTCAGTCAGTCAGTCAGTCAGTCAGTCAGTCAGTCAGTCAGTCAGTCAGTCAGTCAGTCAGTCAGTCAGTCAGTCAGTCAGTCAGTCAGTCAGTCAGTCAGTCAGTCAGTCAGTCAGTCAGTCAGTCAGTCAGTCAGTCAGTCAGTCAGTCAGTCAGTCAGTCAGTCAGTCAGTCAGTCAGTCAGTCAGTCAGTCAGTCAGTCAGTCAGTCAGTCAGTCAGT